GCCCAGCTAATTTTTGTATTTTTAGTAGAGATAGTGTTTCACCATATTGGCCAGACTGGTGTCGAACTCCTGACCTTGTGATCTGCCTGCCTCGGCCTCCCAAAGTGCTGGGATTACAGGCGTGAGCCACCGCACCCGGCCGTCTTTTTCTGTTGGTTTGTTTAATAGAGATGGGATCCCAGGCTGGTCATAAACTCCTAGGCTTAAGTGATCCTCCTGCCTCAGCCTCCCAAAGTTTTGGGAGTATAGGTGTGAGGCACCATGCCCAGTTAATTTGTCTCTTTATCTTTGATTGGACAGTCTTCTCTTGAGTATGGCCATTGACATCTAAGTAGTGACGTAGGAGCCCCCACCATGCCTGTGGTTGACGTGTAGAGGCCTTGTGGATGAAGTGGGCTCCTACAGCATTTTTGCATGCCCCGTGTTTCTAGCTTTATTATCAACTATTTTTTGAGATATAAAGGTGCATACATTTGCATGTTCATTCTTTCCCAGACCTCACGTGCACTGGATCTTTGGTTCATGCCTCACTGTCACTGTCAGCTACCAGTTCCTTACTTTTATTTGTTTTCTAGTCAGATGAGGGGTGCTGTGACCTGGCACCCAGCTGACTTTTTCTTCCTCCACAAAACCATTAACTAGTCATGCACAAAAAGTGTATTCTTCAGTTTTAATTCTTCTGAACTTTAGAAAAGGAGTAACTTGCTGTATTTGGTTCCTAGGAGCTGCAGATTTTCACTAAACATTGTGTTCCTGAGATGTCTTCGTGTTGTTGCCTGTAACTACTGTTCATTAGTTGGCGGTTGTGTGAATACCCTGTTTTTCTGTTGATGGACATCTTCATTGTTTCCTGTTACTATTGTTTGCTGCTTTTCCTAGAGCCGCTGTGTATGTGGGGGTGGGATTGCTGGGTTTGGGGTATATTCCTGTTTCCAGCTTTACAAGTGGTTGCATCAGTGACTTCCAGTATCCAGGTATATAACAGCCTGTTGATCAGTGCCCTCCCTGCAGTCTGATTTTGTTCGATTTCCTAACTGGTGCCACTCTGGTAGGTGTGTAATGCGTCTCATGATGGTCTTGATTTACTTTTCTCTGGCTTACTTACAAGGCTGAGAATCTTCTTGTTTGTGGACTGTAAAATGTTCATCTTCCGTGAAATGCTTGCTTGCGTTTTTTGCCCTCTTTTTTATTGAGTACTTTATCTGATTTTCATTGTTGTAGGAGTCCTTTCTGTATTCCTTATGATAAACTATTCTTAGGTACATATCTTCTCCAGATTTGTTCCTTGTCTTTTAGCTTTTTAAAAAGTGTCTTTTGAGACTGGGTGCGGTGGCTCACACCTGTAATCTCAACACTTTGGGAGGCCAAGGCAGGCGGATCTCTTGAGGTCAGGAGTTTGAGACCAGCCTGGCCAACATGGGGAAACCCCATCTCTACTAAAAATACAAAACTTAGCTGGGCATGATGGCACATGCCTGTAGTCCCAGCTACTTGAGAGGCTGAGGCAGGAGAATTGCTTGAACCCAGGAGGCGGAGGTTGCGGTGAGCTGAGATCACGCCACTGCACTCCAGCCTGAGACAGAGTGAGACTCTGTCTCAAAAAACTATTTATATATTTTTTAATATATATAAATATATGTGTCTTTTTATTAACAGAAGGTGCTAGTTTTAATATAGTCAAATTTATCAATTTTTTTTTAATATTAGTGCTTTTTATGTCTGAGAAATCGGCAGTATTTGGGCTACAGCCAGATTGGAATGTGTTGAGAATGAATGAATGGACTACGGGGAAATGGAGAAATGTCGTTGATTCTTTTTTAAGGCATTTGCCCATGAAAGGGAGGGTAGGATGGAGAGAGAGCGAGAGAAATTGGTGACCAAAGAGATACAGGAGGCCCAGGAGGGGGTGCTTTTTGTTTGCTGTACAAGACGAGAGACCCGAGCATGTGAGTGCCATGAGAAGGCCCAGGAATGGGAAGGGAGGGGCAGCTGTGTTGGATGACGCGTGAGGGTTGGCTGGGGCCACAGGGAGCAGCAATGCTGGTAGAAGGCACACAGCCCCCAACATGGCCGCCAGAGAGACTATAGCCCACGTCTAGGCCTGGACTCCTTGACCTGCTTTGACTTTAGAACAGAGCTGATTCTCATAGTGTGAAGGGGTATCTCGTGGATTTAATTTGTATTTTTCTAATAACTAGTGATGCTGAACCTTTTTTTTTTTTTTTTTTTTTATTTGAGACGGAGTCTCGCTCTGTCCCCCTGGGGTGCAGTGGTACGGTCTCGGCTCACTGCAAGCTCCACCTCCCAGGTTCAAGCCTTTCTCCTGCCTCAGCCTCTCCCAAGTAGCTGGGACTACAGGCACCCGCCACCACACCTGGCTAATTTTTTTGTATTTTTAGTAGAGATGGGGTTTCCCCGTGTTAGCCAGGATGGTCTCAATCTCCTGACCTCATGATCCACCCGCCTCGGCCCCCCAAAGTGCTGGGAATACAGGCGTGAGCCACTGTGCCCGGCCCCGTTTTTCGTTTTTTTTGAGACAGAATCTTGCTGTGTCCGCCAGGCTGGAGTGCAGTGGCATGATCTCGGCTCACTGCGAGCTCCACCTCCCAGGTTCACACCATTCTTCTGCCTCAGCCTCCAGAGTAGCTGGGACTACAGGCGCCCGCCACCACGTCTGGCTAATTTTTTTGTATTTTTAATAGAGACGGGGTTTCACCGTGTTAGCCAGGATGGTCTTGATCTCCTGACCTCGTGATCTGCCCACCTTGGCCTCCCAGATTGCTGGGATTACAGGTGTGAGCCACTGCGCCCGGCCGCTGAACATCTTTTTATGTGCTTTTTTGCCATTTGTACAAAATCTTTGTTGAAGTCTTTCCTCAAGTCTTTGGGCCCATTTTAAAAAATTGTTTTCTCATGATTGAGTTTGCAGAGATGTTTGTATATTTTCAGTACAATGCTTTATCAGATACGTGTCTGTGCAAATATTTCCTCAGACTACAGCTTGTATTTTCATTGTTTTTATAGTGCCTTTTGAAAGGCAGAAATTATTAATTTTGGTGAAGTCCAGTTTATGAATGTTTTCTTTCACAGATCTTTTAGTGATGCATCTCAGAAATCTTTAATTTGGATCTCAACGATTTTATCCTGTTTTCTTTTAGAAACTTGGCAGCTTTAACCTGTACATTTAGGATTATGATCCATCTCATTAAGCTTTGCAAATTATTTGTGGGGTATGAATGGAAATTGGAGGGTGGAATAAACATCCAGTTGTCCAAGCATTATTTGATGAAAAAACGGTCCTTTCTCCAATGAATTACTATTGTACCTTTGTTTAAAAAAAAAAAAAAAAATCAGTTGACCAAATATTTTTTTGTTTGTTTGTTTTGTTTTTTGAGACAAAGTCTCGCTCTCTTGCCCAGGCTGGAGTGCAGTGACGTGATCTCGGCTCACTGCAAGCTCCGCCTCCTGGGTTCACGCCATTCTCTTACCTCAGTCTCCTGATTAGCTTGGACTACAGGCACCTGCCACCACACCCAGCTAAGTTTTTTATGTGTGTTTTTAGTAGAGACGGGGTTTCACTGTGTTAGCCAGGATGGTCTTGATCTCCTGACCTCGTGATCCGCCCGCCTCAGCCTCCCAAAGTGCTGGGA